ATAATATAATATATATAATATGATATGGCAAATGACATTATAATGATATGATATGATATGATGATATATAATGTAATGTAATATAATATAATACGTGATATAAGTTAATATAATGCATGAAATAATAATCTAATGCAATATAACATAATATGATATAATACAATAAAATACAATATATATCATACAGTATAATATAATATGATAAAATATAATATGATATCTAATATGAGGTATAATATGATATTAATATAATATATTACATAAAATAATATTATATAATATTATATAATATATGATTGAATATTATATGTTATGACATATGACATGATATATAATATGTTGTAATATAATATATAATATATGATATTATAATCTAATACAATATAAGTAGATAATGCAATATAACAATATGATATACCATAAAATACAAAATATAATATAATATGGTATAATATGATAAAATACAATATGATATATATTATGATATATAATATTATAGAATATGATATAATAGAACATAATATAGTATGGTATGATATAATATGATATGACATATGACATATTATAATGATATGAGACATGAGATGTGATATATAATATTATATAATAATATAATATAACATAACATAATATAATATAACACAATATGATATATTATGATATATAATATTATATAATATGATATAATATTTAATAACATGATATGGCATATGACATATGATATAATATAACATAATATAATGCAATGTAATATAATATAATATAATATAATATAATATAATATAATATAATATAATATAATATAATATAATATAATATAATATAATATAATATAATATAATATAATATAATATAATATAATATAATATAATATAATATAATATAATATAATATAATATAATATAATATAATATAATATAATATAATATAATATAATATAATATAATATAATATAATATAATATAATATAATATAATATAATATAATATAATATAATATAATATAATATAATATAATATAATATAATATAATACAATACAAATGGAGCACTCAGGGGTAGTGGGAGGGTTCCCTGCCCATGCAGGTGGTTGGAACAGGTTGATCCTTCGGTTCCTCTGCAGGGCAGCCCATGGCATGATTCCAGGTGTGATTTTCCAGGAATATCCATGGCTGTGGCTCTCATTCCTTGCTGCTGTTTCTCCCCAGAGCCGCCTGAAGGAAGCGGTGCAGCTGCTGGAGGATTACAAACACGGCACTCTGCCCCCAGGAGTCACCAACAAAGAGGTCAGAGCAAAACTCTCCTCTCCTCTCCTCTCCTCTCCTCTCCTCTCCTCTCCTCTCCTCTCCTCTCCTCTCCTCTCCTCTCCTCTCCTCTCCTCTCCTCTCCTCTCCTCTCCTCTCCTCTCCTCTCCTCTCCTCTCCTCTCCTCTCCTCTCCTCTCCTCTCCTCTCCTCTCCTCTCCTCTCCTCTCCTCTCCTCTCCTCTCCTCTCCTCTCCTCTCCTCTCCTCTCCTCTCCTCTCCTCTCCTCTCCTCTCCTCTCCTCTCCTCTCCTCTCCTCTCCTCTCCTCTCCTCTCCTCTCCTCTCCTCTCCTCTCCTCTCCTCTCCTCTCCTCTCCTCTCCTCTCCTCTCCTCTCCTCTCCTCTCCTCTCCTCTCCTCTCCTCTCCTCTCCTCTCCTCTCCTCTCCTCTCCTCTCCTCTCCTCTCCTCTCCTCTCCTCTCCTCTCCTCTCCTCTCCTCTCCTCTCCTCTCCTCTCCTCTCCTCTCCTCTCCTCTCCTCTCCTCTCCTCTCCTCTCCTCTCCTCTCCTCTCCTCTCCTCTCCTCTCCTCTCCTCTCCTCTCCTCTCCTCTCCTCTCCTCTCCTCTCCTCTCCTCTCCTCTCCTCTCCTCTCCTCTCCTCTCCTCTCCTCTCCTCTCCTCTCCTCTCCTCTCCTCTCCTCTCCTCTCCTCTCCTCTCCTCTCCTCTCCTCTCCTCTCCTCTCCTCTCCTCTCCTCTCCTCTCCTCTCCTCTCCTCTCCTCTCCTCTCCTCTCCTCTCCTCTCCTCTCCTCTCCTCTCCTCTCCTCTCCTCTCCTCTCCTCTCCTCTCCTCTCCTCTCCTCTCCTCTCCTCTCCTCTCCTCTCCTCTCCTCTCCTCTCCTCTCCTCTCCTCTCCTCTCCTCTCCTCTCCTCTCCTCTCCTCTCCTCTCCTCTCCTCTCCTCTCCTCTCCTCTCCTCTCCTCTCCTCTCCTCTCCTCTCCTCTCCTCTCCTCTCCTCTCCTCTCCTCTCCTCTCCTCTCCTCTCCTCTCCTCTCCTCTCCTCTCCTCTCCTCTCCTCTCCTCTCCTCTCCTCTCCTCTCCTCTCCTCTCCTCTCCTCTCCTCTCCTCTCCTCTCCTCTCCTCTCCTCTCCTCTCCTCTCCTCTCCTCTCCTCTCCTCTCCTCTCCTCTCCTCTCCTCTCCTCTCCTCTCCTCTCCTCTCCTCTCCTCTCCTCTCCTCTCCTCTCCTCTCCTCTCCTCTCCTCTCCTCTCCTCTCCTCTCCTCTCCTCTCCTCTCCTCTCCTCTCCTCTCCTCTCCTCTCCTCTCCTCTCCTCTCCTCTCCTCTCCTCTCCTCTCCTCTCCTCTCCTCTCCTCTCCTCTCCTCTCCTCTCCTCTCCTCTCCTCTCCTCTCCTCTCCTCTCCTCTCCTCTCCTCTCCTCTCCTCTCCTCTCCTCTCCTCTCCTCTCCTCTCCTCTCCTCTCCTCTCCTCTCCTCTCCTCTCCTCTCCTCTCCTCTCCTCTCCTCTCCTCTCCTCTCCTCTCCTCTCCTCTCCTCTCCTCTCCTCTCCTCTCCTCTCCTCTCCTCTCCTCTCCTCTCCTCTCCTCTCCTCTCCTCTCCTCTCCTCTCCTCTCCTCTCCTCTCCTCTCCTCTCCTCTCCTCTCCTCTCCTCTCCTCTCCTCTCCTCTCCTCTCCTCTCCTCTCCTCTCCTCTCCTCTCCTCTCCTCTCCTCTCCTCTCCTCTCCTCTCCTCTCCTCTCCTCTCCTCTCCTCTCCTCTCCTCTCCTCTCCTCTCCTCTCCTCTCCTCTCCTCTCCTCTCCTCTCCTCTCCTCTCCTCTCCTCTCCTCTCCTCTCCTCTCCTCTCCTCTCCTCTCCTCTCCTCTCCTCTCCTCTCCTCTCCTCTCCTCTCCTCTCCTCTCCTCTCCTCTCCTCTCCTCTCCTCTCCTCTCCTCTCCTCTCCTCTCCTCTCCTCTCCTCTCCTCTCCTCTCCTCTCCTCTCCTCTCCTCTCCTCTCCTCTCCTCTCCTCTCCTCTCCTCTCCTCTCCTCTCCTCTCCTCTCCTCTCCTCTCCTCTCCTCTCCTCTCCTCTCCTCTCCTCTCCTCTCCTCTCCTCTCCTCTCCTCTCCTCTCCTCTCCTCTCCTCTCCTCTCCTCTCCTCTCCTCTCCTCTCCTCTCCTCTCCTCTCCTCTCCTCTCCTCTCCTCTCCTCTCCTCTCCTCTCCTCTCCTCTCCTCTCCTCTCCTCTCCTCTCCTCTCCTCTCCTCTCCTCTCCTCTCCTCTCCTCTCCTCTCCTCTCCTCTCCTCTCCTCTCCTCTCCTCTCCTCTCCTCTCCTCTCCTCTCCTCTCCTCTCCTCTCCTCTCCTCTCCTCTCCTCTCCTCTCCTCTCCTCTCCTCTCCTCTCCTCTCCTCTCCTCTCCTCTCCTCTCCTCTCCTCTCCTCTCCTCTCCTCTCCTCTCCTCTCCTCTCCTCTCCTCTCCTCTCCTCTCCTCTCCTCTCCTCTCCTCTCCTCTCCTCTCCTCTCCTCTCCTCTCCTCTCCTCTCCTCTCCTCTCCTCTCCTCTCCTCTCCTCTCCTCTCCTCTCCTCTCCTCTCCTCTCCTCTCCTCTCCTCTCCTCTCCTCTCCTCTCCTCTCCTCTCCTCTCCTCTCCTCTCCTCTCCTCTCCTCTCCTCTCCTCTCCTCTCCTCTCCTCTCCTCTCCTCTCCTCTCCTCTCCTCTCCTCTCCTCTCCTCTCCTCTCCTCTCCTCTCCTCTCCTCTCCTCTCCTCTCCTCTCCTCTCCTCTCCTCTCCTCTCCTCTCCTCTCCTCTCCTCTCCTCTCCTCTCCTCTCCTCTCCTCTCCTCTCCTCTCCTCTCCTCTCCTCTCCTCTCCTCTCCTCTCCTCTCCTCTCCTCTCCTCTCCTCTCCTCTCCTCTCCTCTCCTCTCCTCTCCTCTCCTCTCCTCTCCTCTCCTCTCCTCTCCTCTCCTCTCCTCTCCTCTCCTCTCCTCTCCTCTCCTCTCCTCTCCTCTCCTCTCCTCTCCTCTCCTCTCCTCTCCTCTCCTCTCCTCTCCTCTCCTCTCCTCTCCTCTCCTCTCCTCTCCTCTCCTCTCCTCTCCTCTCCTCTCCTCTCCTCTCCTCTCCTCTCCTCTCCTCTCCTCTCCTCTCCTCTCCTCTCCTCTCCTCTCCTCTCCTCTCCTCTCCTCTCCTCTCCTCTCCTCTCCTCTCCTCTCCTCTCCTCTCCTCTCCTCTCCTCTCCTCTCCTCTCCTCTCCTCTCCTCTCCTCTCCTCTCCTCTCCTCTCCTCTCCTCTCCTCTCCTCTCCTCTCCTCTCCTCTCCTCTCCTCTCCTCTCCTCTCCTCTCCTCTCCTCTCCTCTCCTCTCCTCTCCTCTCCTCTCCTCTCCTCTCCTCTCCTCTCCTCTCCTCTCCTCTCCTCTCCTCTCCTCTCCTCTCCTCTCCTCTCCTCTCCTCTCCTCTCCTCTCCTCTCCTCTCCTCTCCTCTCCTCTCCTCTCCTCTCCTCTCCTCTCCTCTCCTCTCCTCTCCTCTCCTCTCCTCTCCTCTCCTCTCCTCTCCTCTCCTCTCCTCTCCTCTCCTCTCCTCTCCTCTCCTCTCCTCTCCTCTCCTCTCCTCTCCTCTCCTCTCCTCTCCTCTCCTCTCCTCTCCTCTCCTCTCCTCTCCTCTCCTCTCCTCTCCTCTCCTCTCCTCTCCTCTCCTCTCCTCTCCTCTCCTCTCCTCTCCTCTCCTCTCCTCTCCTCTCCTCTCCTCTCCTCTCCTCTCCTCTCCTCTCCTCTCCTCTCCTCTCCTCTCCTCTCCTCTCCTCTCCTCTCCTCTCCTCTCCTCTCCTCTCCTCTCCTCTCCTCTCCTCTCCTCTCCTCTCCTCTCCTCTCCTCTCCTCTCCTCTCCTCTCCTCTCCTCTCCTCTCCTCTCCTCTCCTCTCCTCTCCTCTCCTCTCCTCTCCTCTCCTCTCCTCTCCTCTCCTCTCCTCTCCTCTCCTCTCCTCTCCTCTCCTCTCCTCTCCTCTCCTCTCCTCTCCTCTCCTCTCCTCTCCTCTCCTCTCCTCTCCTCTCCTCTCCTCTCCTCTCCTCTCCTCTCCTCTCCTCTCCTCTCCTCTCCTCTCCTCTCCTCTCCTCTCCTCTCCTCTCCTCTCCTCTCCTCTCCTCTCCTCTCCTCTCCTCTCCTCTCCTCTCCTCTCCTCTCCTCTCCTCTCCTCTCCTCTCCTCTCCTCTCCTCTCCTCTCCTCTCCTCTCCTCTCCTCTCCTCTCCTCTCCTCTCCTCTCCTCTCCTCTCCTCTCCTCTCCTCTCCTCTCCTCTCCTCTCCTCTCCTCTCCTCTCCTCTCCTCTCCTCTCCTCTCCTCTCCTCTCCTCTCCTCTCCTCTCCTCTCCTCTCCTCTCCTCTCCTCTCCTCTCCTCTCCTCTCCTCTCCTCTCCTCTCCTCTCCTCTCCTCTCCTCTCCTCTCCTCTCCTCTCCTCTCCTCTCCTCTCCTCTCCTCTCCTCTCCTCTCCTCTCCTCTCCTCTCCTCTCCTCTCCTCTCCTCTCCTCTCCTCTCCTCTCCTCTCCTCTCCTCTCCTCTCCTCTCCTCTCCTCTCCTCTCCTCTCCTCTCCTCTCCTCTCCTCTCCTCTCCTCTCCTCTCCTCTCCTCTCCTCTCCTCTCCTCTCCTCTCCTCTCCTCTCCTCTCCTCTCCTCTCCTCTCCTCTCCTCTCCTCTCCTCTCCTCTCCTCTCCTCTCCTCTCCTCTCCTCTCCTCTCCTCTCCTCTCCTCTCCTCTCCTCTCCTCTCCTCTCCTCTCCTCTCCTCTCCTCTCCTCTCCTCTCCTCTCCTCTCCTCTCCTCTCCTCTCCTCTCCTCTCCTCTCCTCTCCTCTCCTCTCCTCTCCTCTCCTCTCCTCTCCTCTCCTCTCCTCTCCTCTCCTCTCCTCTCCTCTCCTCTCCTCTCCTCTCCTCTCCTCTCCTCTCCTCTCCTCTCCTCTCCTCTCCTCTCCTCTCCTCTCCTCTCCTCTCCTCTCCTCTCCTCTCCTCTCCTCTCCTCTCCTCTCCTCTCCTCTCCTTTTTGGTGTTTCTGTGCTAAAATACAAACTTCTGCT